CGCAGGTCTGGGTCCCTTTGTGCTCGCCAACAGCGTTGCTGTGGGTCGCTCTCAAATAAAGTTGGTCCTGGGGGATAATCCAGCTGCGTCCTGGCAGGAAAGGCAGCCAGCAATTTCTGAGGGTTGTTACCAGCCAAGCCAACGTCGTTCTGCGGCTTTGCCAAGTGCCTCCAACAGAGGGAAGGGAAGGGAAGGGAAGGGAAGGGAAGGGAAGGGTCATCTTCCACGTTTTCTGCTGTGTGTGAAATTAAGAGTAGAGGAGGGAAAGAGGGGGGGCAGCCCTTCAGCCTTCCTGGGACAACCTGGCCAGGAGGGGAATCTGTCCTTGTCACCAGCAGCTCCCCGTGGCCATGGGAGAACCTGTGCGTGTTTACATGGAGAGAGAGAGCGAAGCCCTGTGAGATGGGACCCACGGTGCTTTCCACATCTCCTGGCAAGATGGATGATCTGTGCAGCCCTGCAGGGCGAGAGGGGAACGGGGTCGGGAGTGGGTGGGACGGCCACGTCACCCCGCCGGCACATCTCTTTCTTCCTTGTGCAAACGAGCTGCACGGGGAGGACTTTGCTCTCCAGGGGAGTGCGGGCACCAGCACCCGTCCCAAGAGCTCCCGGGTGTTGGGAGCCAGTGGGGAAGGTGGCTCTGTCCCCACGGACTGGGTTTGTCCCAGGTATCTGACCCCTGCAGCATCTCCCACAGCACTCAGAAGAGGCTGCGCTTTTTCTTCTTCTCTTTAACATATAATCTTTTTTAAAGGAATATAAGGAAATGGTATCTGGCTTTGTTTTGGCACGGTTTGGCTCCCCTTGCAGCAAGGCAGGTAACCAAATTGAGGGTGCTCCTCTCCCAGTGCTTCCCTTCCCTCCTGCAATGCACTGTCTCGACATTTATTGCTCTTGGGGGACTGGTGCTGAGGGTGGAAAACTAAAATTGGGCAGGGAGACGAGGCACCCCCAGCTCACAGGTGAAAAATCTGCTTAAGCCATGGCGTGTTGTGGAGCTCTGGCTCAGACACATGCTGAGGTATTGCAACTGCACAACCCCTTTGTCAGCAGGTAGAATTATTTAAGATGTTATCACCCTCCACGGTTAATTGCTGCTGGGGCTGGTGGTGTTTTTCCACCCCAATCCACGGTGGCATCGCACCAGCCCGAGGGACTGCAGGCACTCGGGGCAGTGGTTTGACCACACTGAGGAGTTGGCACCGAAGGTCTCCAGGAGCATCCCCTGACCTGGCTGTCCTGGCTGGATGTGGGGATGGGGACTCCCACCAGGGGAATGGAACTGAACCCCTGGGGGCTCTCATGGTGGAGCCGCTGCAGCGAGATGGAGGAGGCACCTGTGTCCCACCTGATGGTGATGCTTTCTGACAGGGAGCTCCCCTTCTGCGGGTATGAGGGTGCCCTGCCTGCAAACACCCCCAATTTGGGATCCTGCTGAAATATTTAAAGCTCATTTCAGTCCCCAGGGGCTTGGTTTATGTTATTTATTTATTTATTTCAGGAGAAGAGTTTAAAGGGCACAGCTTTCCCGTGTATCTGGCTGGAAGAATGTGAAAGAAGGATCCTTCAGAAGAGGTTGTTCAGGTGTTTTTCAGCCCCAGACTGCAACTTTCTGGTCCATGGGGCTGTGTTTCCCTCTGTGGCACTTCACAAACCGAGCTGAAGCAGAGGTTCCTCATCCTGCCCAGGTATGTTCTTGCTCCAACAAAGGCAGGAGCTGGTGGCTCAGCTTCGTGTGAGAGCCCAGCTCCAGAGACACCTTGGCTACCGCAGGACTCTGCAAGTCAGTTTGTGCAATGGGTGGGGAAAATAAAAAAAGGAAACAAAAATTAGGACTTTTTCTTTCTGTCTTCATCTTGGAGTCATCAGTCAAAAGCAGAGAGAAGTGTCTGGGAAAAACTGCTAAATGAAGTGGGCTGGAAGAAATGAGTGTAAGGCTTGAATCCCACCTGATATTGGAAAAGGAGAGGGAAGGGAATCGTCACAGGGGAGCTGGGGGTGCTGCTCTGTGTGCGGAGCCTGACTAATACTGGTTGAACCTGTTGGGCTGTAGGACTGACTGCAGTGCTGTGTGTCTCAGCAGCTAGTAAAAGTCCTATTAGGAACCAGTGCTAATGAGCTAGAAATCCAGCCTGGCAAGAAGAATATGTTGGGCCTGAGCCCCCGAGCCGCTGCCCTCTGGCCCCACCAGCCCTGCTCTGGGGACAGGTCAGCAGGAGTGGGTCTGGTGGGGAAAAAACTTCCACTTTCTTGGCTAAAAGTTGTTTAGAAACTCGAGGCGTCAATGGTGGCCCCGTGTCAGCAGCCTCAGGGAGAGGAGAGGCCGGCAAGGACCGGGGGGCTCCCGGGACACCCCAAAAAGTTTATTCACGTCCCCTGGGTGGGATGTGGGGGGTGTTCCCCACTGCGACAGAAGCTTTTGCAGCGGGAGGTGGCATCTCATGAGGAAGCCAAGTGCCTCCAGGTCTGGGGTGGCCAGGAGAGAGTGTCTCGGGGTGGCAGCAGCCACAAGTGTCCTTAGATAGCTCCAGAAGGGGGCCGGGTTGAGGTTTTTGTGGTTTGGTTTGGTTTGGTTTTTTTTCTAAAGGACAGGAATACTCACCCTCTCGAGGAATCCTGGGTTAAATCCTCCTCGCTCAGGTGGGGCAGCCCCACAGACCTCAGCCGTCGGTACTAATTGAGAGAGAAAAGGAGGAGGAGCGCGGCTTTGTCAGCGCCTTTCGTATGCAAATGACTCTAATAGCTCCCAGGGTGGCCACCCTGTCCCTGTCCCTAGCCCAGCTGGCTGCCGCCATCCCGTGGCCACCTCCGTCCTTTGCAGTCGCCCAAATCTCATTTCTCCCCGGGTCTCCTCCCTCGGCTCCTGCAGGGCTTTCTCTTTCCTCCATTGTCCTGGTTTGAGCCACGCAGGGCTAATTTCCCTTTCAGTAATTTTATTTATTACTATTTTCTAATGCTTGGGAAAACTGAGATTTTAGCAGACTCTAGTGTCTGAATTGGTGAAAATATTCCTTTACAGCCAGTTATTGTAGGTGGGTTTCAAGGTCTCAAGTGTTTTTGAGCTTCCCAGGTGCAGGGACGAGGAGGAGCGAGACCCGGGCACTTGTCCCAAACTGCCAACAGGGTTATTTCATACCAGGAACGGCTCATTCAATAGAAATTAGGAAGTTTGCTGAGGAATTCTCTCTCTCCCTCTCCCCATGGATGGCTGCCACCCTGAGAACTCCTTGCCCTGGTGCCAGAGCCCTGAGCCCTCACCTTCCTCCAGAAGCCACAGCGCTTCCAGGGTCCCACATGGGCTGTCCCTGCTGGGAGGGACCAGCTTCCTGGGATAGAGTGGGCTGGGGATAGTCCTGGTGTATTTTATATCGACATTGGGATCAATATGGTTCTTTTGTACTGCTAGTGTTAATTATTTAGTCTTATTCTATTAAATCTATTTATATTTCAACCCTTGTGTTTTCTTGTTTTTTCTCAATTCCCCTTCCCAGGTGGAGAGGGGTTGTCAGGTGAGAGAGTAATTGCCTAATTGGCAATAAATTGTGGGTTGCTCAAACCATAACATCCATACAGCATCCTCTGACAACGCAGAGAGCACCAGGGCAGCTCCAGTACCCAGAAAGAAAGGTCTCTCTGTGGGCCGGGAGCAGCGCGTTGCGAAATCTATTTATATTTCAACCCTTGTGTTTTCTTGTTTTTTCTCAATTCCCCTTCCCAGGTGGAGAGGGGTTGTCAGGTGAGAGAGTAATTGCCTAATTGGCAATAAATTGTGGGTTGCTCAAACCATAACATCCATACAGCATCCTCTGACAACGCAGAGAGCACCAGGGCAGCTCCAGTACCCAGAAAGAAAGGTCTCTCTGTGGGCCGGGAGCAGCGCGTTGCGTTTGGATTTCTTCTGAAGAGCTGGACCTTGACTCCAGAGAACAGCTTGGAAATCCCTGCTGCAGGTGAGAGACACCCCGTGTTTGCCCTCGTCTCCCCAGCACGCACCTCGCTCACATCAGCTGCTGTCTGGAAACAAAAACCTCTGCCAGTAACACACACACGAAGCGGGCAGTTAATGCTTCCCCCCACCAGGGAGCTGGGACCAGGCACCAGGGATGGGAGCAACTGGAGAGCTGGGGCTGGGGTACCTGGAAGCAGCACAACAGCCTGCAAAGAGCACTTCTCCCTGAATAATTCAAGTGAGTGCACATAGAATTAAGTCACTTTGTTTAATTAGCATTCTCTGGTTACTCTTGCCAAAAGATACAGATTTTTAGCATCAAATATTGCTACAATACCGCTACAGTTCGCAAATGCCACGTTTATGTACTCACAGCATAACGCTGCCCTCTCGCAGCTGAAAGGACTGTTCTCTTTACTCTTCCCCCCCACTTCATATTTTCTTGGAAAGAGAAAACACCAGTCTCTGCTTGCTTTTCCCCTCAGACAAAGCAGATGCCTGCCACCTCCAGCAGAGGGATTTCCAGGTTCCAGGAGCTCGGGCACCGTTATTCCTGTGGCAGCGCTGGGGATGCCGCCTCCCTCCTCCCGGCCCGGGGGGTGACAGGTCCCTGAGGCCCCGCTGGGTTTGGGTTAGCCCTGGGTCCCTTCTCCCCTCCCGCTGAGGGGGTTTATGTCACCGACACGCTCCTCGAGCCGCCGGCTGGGCCCTGCTGGGCTTTGGGCCGCGGGACGTTGAGCAGAACAAGTTTTGGGGGGTGTTACTGTGTCCCCGCGCCCCGGCCCGGGGCTGGGCCCTGCCCCCCCCGCCACGGGCACCCCTGGGGACGCTGCGGGTGCTCTTCCCCCGGGCCGGGGCCTGTACCTGGGGCGGCTCCTTCGCGGCGGCGGGGGAGAAGCGGGCCGGGCCGGGGGGAGACGCGACTCCATTGTGCCGTGAGGGAGGAGGCCGCGTCCGCTCAGCGAGGGAGCTATGGCGGCCGGCGGGGCTCCTGTCACCGGGGGAGGGGGGGCACGGGGGCG